CTTGTCACTTTCCACATCAAAGTGCACGGAACGGGGCTGGAGGGTAGTGGTGCGCGCGTGCACCCTCCATACTCCGCTCGCTGTGCCGCACGACTAGGCTTAAGCCTAGCCATAGCTAAACGCGCTACTTGCCTGTCTGCCCCTCATTCCTTCTTCTTCTCTACAGCTGAATGCATGTTTCGCTGCGGGATACGCAAGCGCTGCACATTTAGGATAGCGCGGGCGGGGTTAGGAGACGATACTGGGTATCACTACCCCTAGCCACATTCTAGTGCACTTTTGAGGGGAGATGAAGGCTTTCTACTACAGCTGTGGATCCATTCACCCGCACATGGGTAGAATCGTTCTCGTAGATGAATGTGCATTTTTTCTTTTATGGGCAAAGAGCACCCCTCATTTTCAAATTATCAAAAGGGAAAGGCACTGCAATGACCCGCAGAGGTTACGAGTCTCCGCCCATTTCTTTATCGCGTAATACGACTTTACCGAAGAGAGCGAGATCGGAGACGACAGTTAATCCGTTAATCGAAAGTTACGGCTGATTATGACCTGGTACTGCGTTGAACTCTATTGCACAAAATTAAGGGAGAACTGAAAGTACTTTTCCGAAATAGGAGTGCACTTGGCACTACCAGCAACAAATGCTTTTGGTGTAATAGTGGAGCTGGCGATCAGCCCTATAACCGGAGCAGCCTCTAGTAGTAGCTCTTCTACTTATGAGAGGGCTCCAACCAGTAGCGTATTTGAACGTAAAAGTTCCCACTATTGGAAACGTACAATGTCGGATGGCTCAAATTTCCACAATTTGTAGAAGGGTGAAACAAAGACAGACTCCGTGACAACTGGTTGGGCAGAGACTCAAGACCGTCGTTCCTCTACTATTGGCCTGCGCCTCCTTCGAGAACAAAAAATTCCACTTCCATACGGTTATACCCCCGCCCACCGAATTGTCGAAGGACACCTCCTTAATATGTAGTCTAGAAAATGTCAAAGAAAGCAAAACGCAGTGTCTCACCCATTAATCCTTTAGGGTTGTGAGCGTAAAACAGATAAAGATTCTCGTCAAGCCATGATAGTGAGTAAGTTTCCACGGGGAAATTAAATACTGGCTGATGGGTATGAACCTGAAAAAGAAGTAGCTTGAGATCGTAAAAAATCAATCATTTATCGTTAAGTGTACATCAAGTTCCCAGTGACTGGCAATTCAAGGGTAAAACCACACTGCTCGTATAGGTGAAGACGCATCTTTGTACGTTCCTCAATGGTTCGCCACTTCCGGCTAATGCCGTTTGGACTCCAGCAATTTCGGCACCGAGCTCATTTTTAAATTGCCTAAGTCACCAAACCGCTGAAAACATGTACACAAGGGTTATTTAAC